CTCCACAACTAGACTGAAGAACAAAATGACAGCAACTTGTCTGTCCCCCTTCCCCCAATTCCCCAGCACTGTTCCCATCCCCCCAATTCACCAATAAAAATCTTTAAAAAAAAAAATCCTCAAAAAATACTAGCATACCGAATCCAGCAACATATTAAAGGGATTATACACCATGACCAAGTGGGATTTGTTCCAGGAATCCGAGGGTGGTTTACATAACAATGTTAAACAATCCACGCCACATTAATAGAACGAGGGGAAATAAACTACATGATCATCTCAATGATTCAGAAAAGCACTTGACAAAATCCAATACTCATGGTAAAAAAAAAAAAAAAAGAATAAACTGGAAATACAAGGAAACTTCCTCAACATGTTAAAGGTACATATGAAAAACCCACAGCTAACACCATACTTAATGGTAAAAGGCTGAAAACTTTCTCCCTGCTTTTGCCACTTCTGTTCAATATATTACTGGAAATTGTAGCCAAAACAACTACGTGAGAAAAACAAATAACAGGCAAACAAACTGGAAAGGTAAAAACTAAAATTATCTGTTTACAGAATAACATGATCTTATATGAAGACAACCTTACAGAATCCACAAACATGCACTTTTGTTGTCAATCATATTTTTATATAAATAATTCAAAGTAAATTAAATGTATGCATAGTCTTAAAATAAACAATTTGTTGAAATTCACTAAATTTGTTTCACAAAATACTGACCTAAAATTTTAAAATGCAAACTTAAAGGTACTATTTTTATCATACACAAAAGACAAAATGGTTTATTAAATTCTTAAAGCATTCTGGTTACTGTGAAAGAGTCCAAAAGTGTAAAAAAATAAAGTTGACTTGCAATGGAAAATGTAATTAAAAATAAGAGACTTAAGGCATTTAGCTTGAATGAGTGACTGAGTAGATAAACAGGTGAACAAAACGGGTAAAAAACATGCTGCCTGATAAACCTACATATTATTTAAGTTTTAATCAGTACGTGTCTCATAAGCTTTTACAGGGCCAGAAGAAAGAGCTACAGTTGGGGCAAGATATGCCAAAGCACACAAAATGCAATCAATGACCACAGCAAAGAGACCATCTTATTCTAATTTCACCACCGCTTAGATAGCTCAAAACAAAGCACATGAGACTTTATGTGAATCAGACAAAATATTCAGCCAACATAACAAGTATGAGAAATTCTTCCAGCAGAAAACAATACCCAAAATGCTTTCCTTTTTCTATTATAAATAAATACTTTGTTTATAAGAGAAGAAGACTTAAAATTTAGGTTAACTGGGGCCGGCCGAGTGGAGCACTGGTTAAGAGTTGGCTTGGAAGCGCCAGCTCTGAGCAGCAGGGCCCCAGTTTGAATCCCACATGAGGGTCAGTGACGCTGCACCCTCTACAGCTAAGATGGTGAACGATACCTCGACCTGGAGCTGGGATGCCGTGAGACGCCAATGATGGCGTAGGCTGCAACCCCTGCTGCAGTGGGCTGCCTTGAGCTACCGTGAGTGGCTGGCAGCCGGCGTGAGCTGCCAAGAGCCGCTGCCTCACCTGGGAAGAGTGTAATGATAATATCAACATGGGCCAGTAATACCACAACTAGACTGAAGAACAAAAGGACAGCAACTTGTCTGTTCCCCTCCCTCAATTCCCCAATAAAATCTTTTTAAAAAACCCCAAATTTAGGTTAACTGATCTGAAAACATATGCCTTAAAAATATTAACAAATGCAATCTCA